TATTTTTTTTCTATTATTTTTTAAGTTAATATTATTTCATTTTTCTTCTTTTTTATAGTACTGTAAACTAGTTTTATTGCTACTATTATTATTATTTAATTGCTTACGAAAATTTTGCGAAACACAAGTGTCGAATTCTAGATCTTCAAAAATGGGTTCGAAACATTCAAAAAAGGCATCGTTGACATCTTCTGATGGATTTGGTAAAGGCATTTCTACTTACTTACTTTCGTGTTGCAGGAGGTTTCCGCAGCTGACCATGTTGCTGCCGTTATCACTTGTGATACTGTACACTTGACTAATTGTGATATCATATCTATTGAAATTTATTAAGTTAAAGTAATAAGTAAATAAATTTTGAATGTTGAATTTTCAACAAAAGTTAGATAAGTAATTAAGTATGTATGGCTGACTTCCAAAACGTCAAATGCTTAGCATACGTACGAAGTATAAGGTTCCATAACGCCGAACTACAAAATATTGACAATGTATACTGTTCCAAAAAGCATCCGAAAAGTTATCGAAACGCATCGCTAGAGCAATCAGCGCATCAGAAACAAAGTTGATGCTTCGCTTGTTATTGGTTAGCATTGGTGTTTTAGAAATGGAAAATTTAGAAAAATTGTTCATTGCTATATTGAATATTTAAAATATATAATGTATATGGTTGCAATGTGTCGCAACTCTGCATATCAAATAGTTTGAATACGGCAGTATAACACTTACCAAACATTGTACTGATACGTTTTGGAAGTCAGCCTATGTATGTACATTAATTTTAAAATTAGAAAACGCTAATGCTACAAAAAACGCTTTGCTATCTTTAATATCAAGTAATTATTGACACATACCTTTCTAGACTTTTCAAAATTAGTTCTTTTAGGTTTCTTGCGGTGTGTTTTTCACGAAAATTATTTACTGCCAACGTTTTTATGGTAATTTCTCCATTTAGTAAATATTGCGCATTTAAGCATACCACGTTACGAAAAAGCCGCTGGGCACTGTCAATTTTTATAGATATTATGCGATTTTTTAGTGTTGTTTTTAAATTGTTAACTTCAGTTGTATGTTTTTGCATTAAAATCTCCCCTATATTATTACGGGTAATTTTGTGCAAACTTAATTGGCGACATATTGGCGTAAATAACTTTTGAAAACTGTTGGTATTAAAAAATCTTAAGACTACACCGCATTCCGTAACGAAACCCGCGCAAATATCTTGAACGTCGTTTTCACTTAGCTCATGCTCAATTTTAATTTTTTTTCTTGCTGGGTCGTCAGCATTTTCGCTTTGCTGTCTTGTTGCTGCTGCACTTGCTCGTCCTGAAGCCTTCCAAAGGCTTCCTTATGTCTTCTGATCAAATGGCTTTTGAAATTTCCCAAGTGAGCGCTTGTTAATTTCGTTTGGCAAAATTTGCACACAAATAACCCCTCTCCAACTTAAAAGCACGATCGGACTAATTCGCCTACTTTTTTACGACCCATTTTGCGGCAGAAACAATTTTCCTTTTTTGATATTTTTTTTGATAATCAACGAAACAAAATTTTTTGTTAACATATTTTTCTGATAATTAACAAAACGAATTTTTTTTTGATAAACACATAATGTTAACATTATCGATGTAAAAAACCAAAACGATTTTGAATTTTCGTTTATTGATACAATTAACGTTAATGTGCAGCCCTGATCAAAACTTCCCAACCAAGGGTTCGTAATTTTTGCATGTGGCTCAGCGTTGTCATAATGGCGCACAACACTTTCTCGATTCTTCTGGTCAGTTTTTTTTATTAATCTAAATAACCTTTCACAGTAGAGGGGGAATAATTTTGGCCAGATGTTAGCGCTTCATCAAACAGTCGCACCGGGTATAGTCCAATGCCTTAAAATGTACATAAGTATGCCGGAAAAAGCTGTTTCTGAGCTCAAGATCTAATTTATCATAATTTTAGGCAAAAATCTCTTCCCGAAGAGTTTAAATTTAAAGGATATACTCTCAGGAAAGTTTAAATCCGCGGAGAGAAAACTTCCAAGATATTGCAGCATTGGTTATTTTACAGTTTTTGAAGCTTTCTTTTTCGAGGACCAGAATCTTTCGAGTGATTGTGAACGGCCTTTTTTGACACTTAAAAAATAAAAAGTTTTTTAACTTTGCCTTTCTTGAAGTAGACTTCCAAAATGTGGTGATTACTCTTAAATTCGGCCTCGCTCAAACGGTTTTGTTGGAAAAATAGCTTTTATGCGACAACACCGTTGGTAATTAGACAATTGACTATGTGTACGGAAGGACTCTTTCACGAATCATATATAAAGCTTGAGTGCTGTGGTAAAACCAATCTACAGAAGCCTTTGTCTGATAATGAGCGTGTTCCGTCATTTCAGTTAATTAATTTACAGACATATGCATAAATTTGGCTGTACTCGCACTGAGACCTGCTTTAAAATTATGCCTTTTATATAGTACCAAGTGCTATATTTTGCACTGAGACAATATGGGATTCCTATGATATTTGGGCAGCTACTACTTTAAACCTCACAGACGCTTAGCTACCACTTAATATATCTTATGTAGTGTCCTACACAGGCCGTATGGTATGCCATTTATAGGGATATTTTTGTACTGTTGAATATTGTGCATAGGGCAAAAACCGTATTTACTGTACGATTAGACTCAAACTTAGGAAGTGTGTTGCTCACACATGAATCGGCTAATTACCAAGGTAAATAAGTTTGCATTTTTCTGATACGGAAAATTTGATGCAGTTCAACAGAGCTCCTTTAAACAAACGGAACTCCATCAAAATTCATTCGATTTATGTGTAAACAGAAATACTTTTATCTGATATTGATTCAAATACCAAACATGGTGACATAGTTTTTTTACAGTGCCTCGAGTTTTCACCAGATTTTGAAAATTAGATTCGGCCGTTCTTAGCAAACTATAGCTCACACGTCGACACTCCTTCTAGCTAGGCACTGAATATTTCTCATTTTCATTGTTGGTGTGGTGGGGTAAAAGTATGACTTATAGTGTAACGATGTATTGTAGAAAGATTTTGCGTCTCCCCTTGCCAAATTTTGTTTGGGAACAAACCGGTTTTGGCGTTGTACAACCTTCAGTGTCATTTTTCGTTCTCAAAAGATGACACAACGTAGAACCAAATTTGACAAGGGATCACGGAAAATCGTTCTACAATACATTGAACACATCTGCTTGAAATCGCTTTTGAGGATCTTAAATTTAAATAGAGGAAGAAGGCAGACGTATGATTAAATCTTTATAACAGACATTTTGGAGCCGAGGATCCAAGTTACATCCCTATCCCGACAAGTGAACAAATCACTGTTATTTGAAATTTTTGCCAAAAATAAATATTCCGAAGAACTCAAAACATGAAAGCGTCGTTTAAAGTTAGATCCATTATTTTAGAAGCTCGTCAAGTGCCAAAATACACAAAAAGTAGTAAAGAAGGAAATATTCTTCTTTGGAATTAAGCGCTCTGATTTGTCCATAAACCCGCCAGGAACAGTGCTCTGACTTTTACCACACAGGGTCTGAAGTCTACCATATATTCGCGAGTTTGAGTAGTTTTATTTTGCTCGTCATAATTTCCTTTATTTTTATTTTTGGGTTTTAAAACCGAAATATTTTCCGATACTAAAAAATATGTGACAAAAAACAACCAGCACTCTGCTGGGTTGCAGAAATTTTCTCTAAATTCTTATTAAAAAGTTGGAATTTAGATGAAACTTTACAGAGTTTTTATAATTTTTGCACAATGTTTGAAATTTAAATTAATATGGTTTTTGTTAGATAACGAGTTATATGTACTTTAATAAAAAATTAATAAGTATTAAACAAACACAACGAGTTATTATGTCATTTACCACAGAAACCCGTTAAGTGAACAATTCAAAATTAAATTTAAATTTATAAAATTATTTGTTTTCATAAAATTACTCGATATTATAATTATTTTCAACAAAATATGACTACAATCCACCAAGAGAATTGCTTTCCTAATAGGGCAGTTTTTTAGTTTTATCTACACCGAAATAAATCTATTCAAAAAGAGTGCGTCCTTTTTTATTTTCAATCTACTAAGTAGTTTTATTATAAAATTTAACCATAAAAATGGAAGAAACAAATGTAGGTATTGAAACCGCAGAAAACAAATAAAGAAAGACATTCACAATAAGATCTATTTTATATTTGCCTTAAGTCAAAGATCAAGTAGCGGTGAAGATTTTTATTTCTAAAACTACAGTACTTCCTTTCCTTCAATTAGAAGGCGGATAATATAAGCATTTTTTCTGGGAAAATTAACAAATACATTTTTTTAATCTAATATTAGTTTAGTATTATTATTAATTTGGGATATTTCTATTTAACTTACCAAGAGGTGGTGCGAAATTCGTGTAGGATCTGACCTGCACTCAGTCAACAGTGCACCCTTTATGTATAGGCAATTGCATTAAGAAGTCCACAGCTATACTCTTACCTTGAGTGCCTTATTGTATTTCAGATCCTGCGGGGGTCGCTAATAGCACTCGAGTTGCAGCTGCGTCGTCATTAACTGCACAAACACCTGGCACAAAAAGTCAACGAAATGACAAAAGTTTGCTGAGCTGCAGCAAAAAGAAAAACGCAGAAGTAAGCAGTACTTTATTATACCTTTCATGAGCATGAAATGGTATTATAACTTTGGTCCGATGTTTGTAAGTACCAAAACAAAAAGAGATAGACCCATTAAAATGTATACTTATATGATCAGAACGTCGAGCTGAGTTGATTTATCCATGTCCGTCTGTCCGTCTGTCTGTCTGTCCGTCTGTTTGTATGCAATCTAGTCTCTCAGTTTTCGAGATATCCGGATCAAATTTGGTAGGTGGGTGTATTTTTATACTGTATTAATCATTTGTCGGAACCGGAAGAATCGGACCACTATAACATATAGCTCCCATACAACTGATTGTTCAGATATGAGATTTTTCGTTATAATTCATCCATTTATGCAGCTACGAACATGAAATTTCGCAGCACTTGCACCCATTATCAACAGAATGCTTACAGTGAAAATTACAAAGATCGGGTCACTATAACCTATAGCTCCTATACAACTGATTGTTCAGATATATAATTTTTCGTTATAACTCCTCCATTTATATAGCTGGGAACAGGAAATTCCGCACTGTTTTCAATAATTATCAACAGAAAACTTACAGTGAAAATTTAAAAGATCGGATAACTATAACCTATAGCTCCCATACAACTGATTGTTCAGATATGAGATTTTTCGTTATAATTCATCCATTTATGTAGCTAGGACCATGAAATTTCGCGCTGCTTTCACTCATTATCAGCAGAAGACTTACAGTGAAAATAACGAAGATCGGGGCGCTATAACCTGCAGCCCCCATACAACTGATTGTTCAGATATGAGGTCTTTTATCATATCTCCTCCATTTATGCAGCTAGGAACATGAAATTTCGCACCATTTTCACTCATTACTAACAGAATACTTACAGTGAAAATAACAAGGATCGGAGGACTAAAACATATATCTTCCATACATCTGATTGTTCAGATATGGGATTTTACTGTAAAACTCCTTTATTTGAACAGCTAAAACCGATAAATTTCGTAAGATATTTTATAAATAATAATACAAAGTCTACTGAGAAAATCGTCAAAATCTATGCTGTATAAGCTTTATCTCCTATAGCACTGATTGTTCAGATACCAGTTTTTGCGATATATCTCCTTTATGTAGGAAACTAAACCCAATAAATTGTGTTACCGGTTTACATACCGATCACATAGCAGTGAAAATCACTTAGATTGGTGCCATATAAAGTATATCCTCCATACCTCTGATTGTTTAGAGGCGATTTTTTATATAAGTATGTAACTCCTCTATCGATGTATGCAGATGTATTCAAAATCAGTAATCTGTCAAACTAAAATTTGCAGATGTTCATGAAAGGTATGAAGCCTTCGGCATAGCCGAAGACAGCGCTGCTCTTATTTGTTTTTCAGTAATTTTTTTCTTCTTACCGCCCTATTCCCACAACACTGACAAAATTCATCATATGACTATTGTCACAATTACTGCGCCTAAAACACAATATAAACATTGTTTCGCCGTTGTCACTTACTC